AACACTATGAAGAATGGGAATTCCAGATCACTTAATTGTGCTCATTAAAAACCTGTACATAGATCAAGAGGCTGTCGTTCAAACAGAACAAGGAGATACTGCATGGTTTAAATGCAGGAAAGGTGTGCGTCAGGGTTGTAGCCATTCACCCTTCTTATTCAGTCTGTACACTAAGCAAATCATCTGAGAGGCTGCACTACCTTGCTTGCGGAAAGTGAAGATAACTTGAGGCACTTACTGACAAAAATGAAAGACTACAGCTTTTAGTATGGATAATACCTCGATACAAAGAAACGAAATCCTCACAACTGGACCAATAAATAGCCTCACAATAAATGGAGAAAAGATTGGAGTTGTCAGGATTTCATTTGACTTGGATCCACAATCAACACCCATGGAAGCAGCAGTCAGGAAATCAAACGACATATTGCACTGGGCAAATCTGCTGCAAACGACTTCTTTAAGGTGTTGAAGACAAGGATGTCACTTTGAAGACTAAGGTGTTCCGGGTGCAAACAATGGTCTTTTCAATCACCTCATATGCATGTGAAAGCTGAACACCGAATAAGGAAGACTGAAGAACTGACGCATTTGCATGGTGGTATCAGTGAAGAATATTGAAAATATCATGAGCTGCCAGAAGAACCAACAAATCTGTCTTGGAGGAAGTACAGCCAGAATGCTCCTTAGAAGTGAGCATGGCCAGTCCTTGCCTCACCTACTCTGGTCAGGTTGTCAGAAGGGACCAGTCCCTGAAGAAGGATATTGTGCTTGGTGAAGCAGGTCAGTGAAAAAGGGCAAGACCCTCAACGGGATGGATTGACACAGTGGCTGCAGTGACGGGCTGAAGCAGAGCAGGGATTGTGAGGATGATGCAGGACCAGGCAATGGTCCATTCCATTGTAACAGGGTCTCTATGAGTCGGGCACCTATCAACAATATAATTGCTGTCATGGTTTGGAGTTGGGAAGATGTTTCTCTCCAGAATCTCTAAAGTTATCCTGGAATTCCAGTCTTGCTTTCTCTTTATAAGTTAAACATTGAGACCTATACCAGTCCCTGAGATTGAAATATAAATTCATCAAATTTATTATCTTCCTTTTATATATCAGGATTAATGTGTTTTCCCGTTGAGCCTTCTTTAACTTCGTCTACATCTCACTTTTCACTTTATTCCCCTCTTCCTCATCCAGAAAGATACTTGCACTTGGTGGGACAAGTCTTAGACACATAATTACCTCTTAAAAGAGGAATCACCTGGGGAATTCCTCTTACTGCTTACTTTACACATTTTTATATACTGAAGTTTATATATAAGGTATGATTAATGTGGTGGTTATACTTGTGTGTCAACTTGGCCAGGCCTGGTTGAATGGCTGGGCAGCTAGTGGTAGTTATACCCCATGATGAGACTGGCAATCCACTCCATGGTGGGATCTACCACAAGCAGCTGAGTAGCTGAGATGAGGTCTGCTTCCTGTATTTAATGAGAAGCCTTGGGAATGGTCTCTAGCCCATGGCACGCTCGGACCCTGAATGTAGCCGTGTCATTTCTCAGCAGTCTGCCATGCTCTGCCAACCTTGGGACTTACAACAGTCTTAAATTAATGGCCTGCCATGTGGTTTGGTAACATCGGGACTGTGCCTTTTTTTTTTTTTTTTACATTTTATTTTATTTAGATTTGGGTGAAGATTTACAGAGCAAAATCACTCTCGATACAGCAGTTCACATATACTTTGTCACATGTCATTGACCACAATTTACCACAATGCAACAGCTCCCCTCCAATTTCCTCCCCAAGGTACCACTTCCCAGTGTCCATCCCTCCATACTCTCCTGCCCCCTAAGCTGTCTCCCTGTGCATAAGGTGCTCTT